CTCCATCCTCGCCTCTTCCAGCTTCCAGCTTGCAGCGCACTCATTACTCAAGGAGCGAGCGTGTGGTAAAAGCTGGGCGAGATGGGGTTCCGTTCCACTGGCAATGTAGATGTGTTTGCCTCGCTGATAAGTGCACGGTTGGGGGATTAGTGGTCTCTTATCAGTTCGTACTGACGGTAGTTCAAAGCCTCGCCCCCTAATCGTACGACCGGGAATCGGGGATTTTATCACAGGCAATTTACTTGCTGGCAACTTAATGGCGCCCAACCTTGCACGTGCCCCACGTGCGAACAGCTCGCAATGGGTTGTTGAGATTGCGGAATTGAGACGGGGTTGACTGCTGACTGGCGACTGGCGCCTGGCGCCTGGTTAGCCATGAAAATTTCAATTATTTTCACAGGCCTTGTTATGATTTGTAATTGGTTTTCTTTCGTTACGTTTCATTTTAGTTCGCTTCAGCTTGTTTCAGCTCGGTTCGCTTCGCTTCGCCACTTTCCGTGCGGATGTCCCTTCTTTAATTAAAAGTCCGAGCGTATCGCAGCGGACAAGTTGTAGGGCCTAAAAGTTGGCACTTTTTTGTTTGCCTTCGCTTGCCTTTGGTAATGAGCCATTCTCCGATCTAATGGCGAACTAATCAACCTTTTTTAATTGAATTCCTGGGGGCCGGAGCTCGAAGCTGTCGTCCCCAGGCCGGGGACAAATCAACGAAAGTTATTTCATTAAAAAATTTTAATTGACATTCGTTCTTCCAGCAAATTAAGCTTTGTGTCGTAAAAATATTTGCCCATCTCAGCAAGAAGTTTCGGACCGGCCAGGCCATCTGTCAGTTGGACAGGACCTGTCCCAGGACCTATTACCTCGTCTTGTTTCTTTCGCCCTGCTGGCTCATTTTCACTTCCACAATGAATCAAGCTGACAGAGCTCATATATATTTCTATTTCAGTTTTTTTTTTTTTTTCTTCAGACCCGAACTTTTTGTGCAAGGCTCGCCGCTTTCCCCGCTTTATAGATATTTTGATGTAATTACTGCGACAAGTTGCCCAATTTGCTTAGTTCGGAGTTCGTTTTATTTAATTAGTTTTGTAGATTGTTTGTCCCGGGTCCTTTTTGGCAACGTCTTCTGATTTTCCTCAGCTGCCTCGCTGGCAACAGGAAATTGTTCAGTTTCGTCGACTGCTGAGTGACAAATTGAATTTGCTGTGACAAAATAGGGCTACTTGTGAGGGTCCATGCATCAGATCCTGTCGCAAGCACAGAGGATATATCACCCACACCCCTCTCGGGCAATTAGAGATTTCGTGCTATATCTTTCTGGCCACTAAAACACTGCTAGTTTGGGGTCCGAGAAAACAACGAATACGGATACGGAATTTTATGCACTCACTCTGGCCAACATTCCCCAAATGCAACTAACTTTTCAGCAACAGTACTGGCTTTGTTTTGTGCTCCGTGGAACTAGTTCATAGTAAGAATGTAGGAAATACTATCTTAAATAGAAATAGTTGATGATGTAAAATGATGTGGAAATTCCTAAAAATTCAAAAATGTCCCAAGGCTAAAGTTCTGAACTCCATAACTCAACTTATCTTAATCGGATTTTGAAGTGGCATACCTCTAAATGTTTTTGGTGCAATTCTCTAAAAATCTGCATTCAAATTTAAAAATAATTTTTTTTTCAATTTTTTTGTAAATTTTTTGATGATGTGGAAATTCAAAAAAGTTAAAAAATGCCTAAGGCTGAATTTCTAAACTCCATAACTCAACTTGTTTTAATCGGATTTTGATGTGGTATACCTCTAAATGTTTCTGGTGCAATTCCCTAAAAATCTGCATTCAAATTTAGAAATTTATTTTTTTTCAATTTTTTTTCAATTTTTTGTTGTGATGATGTGGAAATTCAAAAAAGTTGAGAAATGTCCTAAGGCTGAAGTTCTAAAGTCCATAACTCAACTTATATTAATCGGATTTTGAAGTGGCATACCTCTAAATGTTTCTGGTGCAATTCTCTAAAAATCTGCATTCAAATTTAAAAATAATTTTTTTTTCAATTTTTTTGTAAATTTTTTGATGATGTGGAAATTCAAAAAAGTTGAGAAATGTCCTAAGGCTGCAGTTCTAAACTCCATAACTCAACTTATCTTAATCGGATTTTGATGTGGCATACCTCTAAATGTTTCTGGTGCAATTCTCTAAAAATCTGCATTCAAATTTAAAAATAAATTTTTTTTAAATTTTTTTGTAATTTTTTTGATGTGATGATGTTGTGGAAATTCAAAAAAGCTAAGAAATGTCCTAAGGCTGAAGTTCTAAACTCCATAACTCAACTTGTTTTAATCGGATTTTGATGTGGCATACCTCTAAATGTTTCTGGTGCAATTCTCTAAAAATCTGCATTCAAATTTAAAAATAATTTTTTTTTCAATTTTTTTGTAAATTTTTTGATGATGTGGAAATTCAAAAAAGTTAAGAAATGTCCTAAGGCTGAAGTTCTAAACTCCATAACTCAACTTGTTTTAATCGGATTTTGATGTGGAATACCTCTAAATGTTTCTGGTGCAATTCTCTAAAAATCTGCATTCAAATTTAAAAATAATTTTTTTTTCAATTTTTTTGTAAATTTTTTGATGATGTGGAAATTCAAAAAAGTTAAAAAATGCCTAAAGCTGAAGTTCTAAACTCCATAACTCAACTTATTTTAATCGGATTTTGATGTGGCATACCTCTAAATGTTTCTGGTGCAATTCTCTAAAAATCTGCATTCAAATTTAGAAATTTATTTTTTTTTTAATTTTTTTGTAATTTTTTTGATGTGATGATGTTGTGGAATTTCAAAAAAGCTAAGAAATGTCCTAAGGCTGAAGTTCTAAAGTCCATAACTCAACTTATATTAATCGGATTTTGATGTGGCATACCTCTAAATGTTTCTGGTGAAATTCTCTAAAAATCTGCATTCAAATTTAAAAATAATTTTTTTTTCAATTTTTTTGTAAATTTTTTGATGATGTGGAAATTCAAAAAAGTTAAAAAATGCCTAAAGCTGAAGTTCTAAACTCCATAACTCAACTTATTTTAATCGGATTTTGATGTGGCATACCTCTAAATGATTCTGGTGCAATTCTCTAAAAATCTGCATTCAAATTTAGAAATTAATTTTTTTTTCAATTTTTTTGTAATTTTTTTGATGTGATGATGTTGTGGAATTTCAAAAAAGCTAAGAAATGTCCTAAGGCTGAAGTTCTAAAATCCATAACTCAACTTGTTTTAATCGGATTTTGATGTGGCATACCTCCAAATGTTTCTGGTGCAATTCTCTAAAAATCTGCATTCAAATTTAAAAATAATTGTTTTTTCAATTTTTTTGTAAATTTTTTGATTGTGCGGAAATTCAAAAAAGTTAAAAAATGTCCTAAGGCTGAAGTTCTAAAATCCATAACTCAACTTGTTTTAATCGGATTTTGATGTGGCATACCTCTAAATGTTTCTGGTGCAATTCTCTAAAAATCTGCATTCAAATTTAAAAATAATTTTTTTTTCAATTTTTTTGTAAATTTTTTGATGATGTGGAAATTCAAAAAAGTTAAAAAATGTCCTAAGGCTGAAGTTCTATACTCCATAACTCAACTTCTTTTAATCGGATTTTGATGTGGCATACCTCTAAATGTTTCTGGTGCAATTCTCTAAGAATCTGCATTCAAATTAAAAAATTTTTTTTTTTTCAATTTTTTTGTAATTTTTTTGATGTGATGATGTTGTGGAAATTCAAAAAAGCTAAGAAATGTCCTAAGGCTGAAGTTCTAAAATCCATAACTCAACTTATTTTAATCGGATTTTGATGTGGCATACCTCTAAATGTTTCTGGTGCAATTCTCTAAAAATCTGCATTCAAATTTAGAAATTTTTTTAATTTAAATTTTTTGTAATTATACGCGCTAGTCGTAGAAAAGTATATAACAGGCTGAAGGAAACGTTTCCGACCATGTAAAGTAAATACATTCTTGATCAGGCCATCTGGCCATGTCCGTCTATCTGTCCGTATGAACGCCTCGATCTCAGGAACTACAAAAGCTAGAGTGTTGAGATTAAGCAGGTAGCTTCCAGAGACATAGACGCAGCCCAAGTTTGTTTCCAAATGTTGTCACGCCCTTTTTTACGCCCACAAACCGCCAAAAAAAACGTTTTGAAAAATTTGGTATTTTTTAATTTTTCATATCTTGTAAATTTCTATAGATTGCAAAAAACTTTTGCCACGCCCACACTTTTAAAAATTTTTTAAATTTTTTAATTTTTTTTATTTTTTTCCCAATTTCTACCGATATTCCAGAAAATGTTGAAATTTCTCGTTTGCACTTCCACTAGCTGAGTAAGGGGTATCTGATAGTCGGGGTACACGACTACAGCATTATCTTGTGCTCTATTACCATTACGATTTAGCTTGTAGAGCGTTAATAAACTGATTTAAATAATAAAAACTTGAATAACCCTTGAGGTTAGCCACCATAAATGCCCATTTATCAAATTTATTGAAATTATTCAAACTAAGCACACCGAGCGGAGCTGGATCCGCTCCACTTGCGCTATCGGAAAACCCGAAACTCAACACGACATCAAGTGCAATCATAAACAAGCGCAGTTCGCAGCAACAACAGTATTTCTCGCTAGCCATTTGCAAAAAAAATGCGCAACAGTTGCATGTGGCAGCCGCCAGTGGCGACAACAACAACAACGACGACGAAGACACCAACAACAGCAGCGAGCACAGCAACAACACCAACACCAACACAAAACAAACAATTGTCCTTTCTCCGGCCCTAAAATCCGCAGCCAACCCACTCCCCCCTGCGACCGCCCAATTTACTGCCGGCATTTTGGGAGCATTTTGGGAGCATTTTGGGCGCATTTTGGGCCCACCCACCGGAAACCGACCAGATGCGCATGTGCCCACAGCAGAGCCGAGTCCTTTCTCGCGGCCAAATCGTGGATATGAGTACTGGAGTCAAGGACTCCGACGAAGGACTTGCCGTCGACTTTCAGTCGCTCGCCACTTTTCGAAACACACGGTCGTCGAGGACTTGCCACCGCCGGAAAACTGTGGAAAACTGCGTGCGTGCGTGAGTGTGCGTGTGCTTCGAGGGAAAAAGCGAAATTCTCCGTCCAAACAACAGCAAACACAAGCGAATGCTTCGTAGTTCCTGCGTGGTCCGCGTACCGCAAAACCGAATCATTAATAAAGAAAAGCCCTGCCGTCGACAAAATTGTTTTGCGCTACCCAAGCACGTTGACACGGCTTAAATGGGGCATTAAGTGCTCGGAGTTCAGTGCTGATATATGCAATTTTCGCTAATCACAAGTGCAATAATCCCACACGCTTCTCTGTGTGATGCCAACTGGCCAGCAGAACGAAAAGGATTAAGTTCCGGATCGAGCGACAGGCGTTAAGCTGATTGCCCGGTGATATAAGTAAGCATTTAATGTGTTTTGTTGGCTCTGAGCGATTTCAACACCCGCTTGAACCCGTCACAAGAATCGCACCCACTTCAAACTCTCGACCGGAACTAAATAAATAATTGTGCTCGCCACCCCCACATCCTACACACACACATATATATATGGTTTCCAGGTCCTTTTTTATGGTGTCACATTGCGTGACTGAGTGAACTTGTGGACTGACACTAATTGCAATGTGTGAGAATGATGGCCCTTTCCGTGGGACGTCCGAAAGTAGGCAATAAAAAGTAATGCAAGTGCCAAGTGGACAGCCAAAAATATGAAGATGTGGGAAGCTTGTGTATTAAATGGCTTTTGAACACCTTGAGGTTACAGGGTAACGTGCATTCTAAGTTTTCCACATCTATGATATCTATGATATTTAATGAATTTAAGCTTGCCACTGATTTTTACATTGAATAAGGAGTCTTTCAGGAACTAGTAAAGCTGTCAAGGAACAATGTTAGTTAGGAAGATTATTTAAGGACTTTAATAGCAGCAAGTGGCTTTGAGAAATCAGTAAATCAGGTTAATGGGGTCCGCACACCAACAATAGTTATCAAGAACCGATATACCCGGCTTACAAGGAGTAGCCCGCCTAAATGGAGAGGAATAAAGCTGAAAATGCAAATCTCTCGTTGCGCTTGGGCAGCTCTAAATGGGCTGGCCCGACACTTAGCACCACCCACCACCCAGTAGACCTTTCCCCATCCCCATCTGCACCTCCATCCAACGGAGCACTCAGTGCACGCCAACGCCTCGACACGACAGCCTACGTTGATTGAATGGCTAAGTGGGCGGAGGCAGCAACAAAGGAGGCACAAAGTGAAACTAAAAGTTGGCCTAAGTGCGGGCCACAGTTTCGCTTTTAGCCCGGTTTTTATGCCTCAGCCCCTGATTAGGGGTCTTTGGGCGAATATGCATAGATTAGGCACGCTTTTAGCGCTCGATTGCGGGACACTCGGCTTGATGTTTCAATTAGGGGCATAAAACTCTAAAAAAAGGAAAATGAAAATAAGCGGCCACTGCCGTGCCTGTTTTGACCCAGATAGCCGCCGGCTCAGATGTCGTTCCACAGTCAGATTTTCGCCAGAGCCGGAGAAAATATCATTTTAATAACCGAAATGACAGCCATAAATCAATGATTATTGCCCATTGTCTGGGGAGTTGGGCGGCGGCATGTCGTTTTCGTTGCCCTCGTCATTCGGAGGGGCTTTAAAACGAGGGTCCTGACTGTCGTCGAGATACTTCAACGGAGATAAAAGTCCTGCTGCTGGGTGTTTTCGCTTAGCCCGGCTTGTGTCACTTGGCGCCATAAATTTACGCCACATAATATTGAAAATTCCCATCAGACAACCGCACGGTGTTGAGTTAAACTCGTTAAACGTAATTGAGGTTGTATTTCATGTTAAATGGCCGGCTGCCCAGTGGCGCAGTCCTGTGTTCTGTGGATCAGCCAGCTGGATATGTGAGCTGGTCATTATGGGGTTATTTACTAGACACTCGGTTGCATGCAGACGAGCATCCTTAAAAGCCCTCATTCTGTTTTCCCAGCTGTGCGGAGTGGGGAATGCCCTATGCGGCTAGATCTTTGGGTCTTACCTTTAAACTACGACCTCTGTATGGATAGTCTGTTCATTTTTAAACACAATCGCATTACAAAACAAGAAGTCACGCCATAGTCGAGCTCCTCGACTATCACATACCCGGTACTCACAGGAAAACTAAGCAGAAGTACTATTTATGCGTATTTTTACGAATTTGTGGTTAGATTTAGGTTTTTAATTTGACACTCTCTTGCCAAAACCACTGCAATTCGGACAAAATTAGAAGAGATTTGCATTTCCATTTGCACGTATGCATATTTGCTTGTATAGTTTGACAAGCCATTAAATGAAACAGCAAAAATAATTGAAATGCCATTAAGATTTCCCTTTCACTGTAATGTAACACTTTGATTAAAGGAAAGTAACCGAAATAGCTTGGAATTGCTGAAATTTTTGGCATAATTTCCAACGCCAAATGAACACTGTAAACAGCAAAACTATTTGAACGCCACTTTAGTGCCAATTTGGCAAATGAATTATCAATAATTTTGCCTAATTTATGGGCACAATAATTACAAAAGTAATTGGAGTAGCACCGCATTAAGTGGAAACTGTCATCATGCGAAATGGCACAAATTCTGAATTTAATTGCTTAGCCAGGCTAGACACTAATGCTCAATTTCGCCGCAAACTTGAATGTCTTTTATGAGGGGTCCTGGCATTTGGGATAAATGTATTTACGCACATGCACGGCTGAAAATCGTTAGTTCAGCGGAGCGCAGCAACAAAATTACACAAAATAGAACAAATCGGAACGACATTTTCCCGCCAGCCCCTCCTGTTGTAACGTAAATTAATTGCCTGCACAAATTAGCCAGTCCGGCGAACATTTTGGACATTAGGCCAGGCACTTAGGCACTTTTTGGCCAGCTCACGGAGGGGTGCTGCAATTCCCAATTGTTGGGACCACATTCGCCAGCGATTCGCCATTAAATATACAACAATACTCGGGTAATGCCAGGTAAACATGGCAAGCTGTCGCTCGTTACTTTTAATCAGTTATCAAAATTTATGGACAACAATTTGTCCGGTCAGCGCGAAAATTTCGCATTGTGTTGCGAAGTCCATTTTCCCAGTTGGAGTCCATTTTCAAATATTTACGTGAATTTAATGAGGTTTGGCGCGATTGTTTATTCGTCAAATTAATGTCAGCAACGCCTATGCACTTGAAAAATAACGTTTGCAAATTAGGATAAAAATTTGATTCAAAAATCATAAGTAAATATTTTTTAAAAGCCTGTTCGAGATGATTAACATCTGTTGATAATTTAAAATATATATATTCGATAGGAAAGTTATCTGCTTAAGATTAATCGTATTGGGCTTTAATTGTATATTATTGGCCTTTAAAACATTTGTTAAGTGTTATTTACGGTCTTATACGGACAAACGGACATTTCGAACGGACAGACGGACAGAGGGAAATTTAAAGCAAAATTTGAAGGTTTCCTACTTGCACAACACTCTTTATTGCCTGTAATTAAATGATATTTACTAATGAACACGTTTCGAACTAAAGACACAGTCATGGAGAAACTGTATACATTAAGTAAATGGGAATGGCCACAGGGATGACGTGGAATGCAATTCGATATTTTATTTGGGGGCGGAAAAACTATTCTCATTCCGCGCCCAATGAAAGCCGAGGGCGAAACTCAATTTGAGTTTCAGTTTACTTTAATTTTGGGCACTCGCATTACTCAAATGCGAAATTTGTTGTTGTTTCTGTTGGCCAAAATAGATTCCATCGGAGTTTTAATAGCCAAGGAGATGGATATCCTGCCACATTCGGTTGTTTATCATCAGTTATATAGAAGTCGGGGCAACGCCAGTTTGGTTGCTACTAGGAAAAGCCCCGCGGCTGTTTTCCCAGCCCAAGCGACAACAAATGGGATTGGGAGCTGAGAGCTGGGAGCTGGAAAATGGGAAATGCGGAGTTGGGCGTAAAGTGGGTGAGCTAAAGCCATGACAGGGCATTTAGGGTCGGCTGGAGGAACCGAGCAACTGGAAACGCTAAGCAAACAGAGCTCGGAAAGATGGAGATGGAGATGGGGAAGGAGCAATCGGTGGAAATAAAATATTAACTCAGCCCGACTCTAGCTCACGATTCAATTAGAAGCGAAAGCCATTTTATAATTGAAACGAGCCGGAGGAGCCCGAGGCCCCATTTTCCCCCTTTCCCCCCTCAACCATCGATGCGAAAGCCTTTTTCAATCTAGGCCGAGCTCAGGGGGGCGGAAAATAATACACATCGATAAATATTAGCTGGGGAAAAATGATGCAGGCAGCGGCAAAGATTATTATTCATTATGGTGCCCGCTTCTCCCGCCTGTTTTCCCCCGAGTAATTGAAAAGTTTTGCCCCACCGCCAACTCAACTCATCCGTTCATGGCTCATCCTCAGCGGTCTTTCCTTCGGCTCCAGAAACAACGGCCAATGCTCAATTTGTCACTTGGCGGAGGAGGAGGAGCAGGAGGGATTCGGAGGCGTGGCAGGCTGACAGATGATGCGTGTGAGTAAGCGGAAAATGCCCGAAGGAAACTTACTGTGCCCCGTGCCATCCTGCCATCATGATTATGATTGAGTTGATGTAGTTAATATGCTATCGACTAAGATGATGATGATTGCCATGAAGGATGGCCCATCCGTTTCCCCATTGGAGAGCGCCCCTTCAGGAAGTGCACCCTGCTCAATGTTTGTCTGCTGCTCCATTTAAATCAGTTACAGTGAGTTTCCCCCTCGGAAAACACACAGCCAAAGACACACATTTCCCTCGTTTATTTGTCTTTTGAATTATTAATGCACTCGCTGAATGACTTCGAAAGCCCGAGAACGGTGTTTTCCATCTGCAGATGCGGCTGCCTCTGCTCCTTGGCTTCCTTTCATGATGATAAAGGTGATGATGATGGGGCTGAAGTGGATGGTGGCTAGATGTGCTGATGATCTGGCCCTTAATCAAGTGATTCACTTGCCATCCCGCGGCGTCCTTTTGGGCGCAGATAAGTTTAATTAAAACGACCGCAACATTCCTTCATTAAGCTCGGAAATCGCTCCCATCGGCTGGGAAACTATCTACTGTTGATGAAACTATAAAATTCCAAAAATGTTGCAAAGCAAAAAAGAGAGATCGAAAATTGAAGGCAACAAACTTTTCTGATTTCGATTTTTATTGCGGCCAGAAAATGGGAAAAGCGAGAAGAGCTGTGAGCAAAAAGCAAAAGCCAAGTGGGCAAGAGTTTACCATGGAGATAGAAGCAGTTTCGGTTGCTTCTTGGCAACAATTTCATTTTGGGAGCACTCGACTGTCCCGGATCCATTGCCATGCCCACGAGGCCCACCCCATTGCACTTTGACCCACCTCCCTGCTCCAATGCAGTTGGCATTCCATTCGGGTTACCTGCACACGCAACCAGCAAGGATAACCCGCAAGGATAGAGGGGGAGGGGGAGGGACAGCTGAATAAACACGTAGACCAAACAACAATGAGCAGGGGGAAAACCACCTGAACCACCTGAACCACTTGAACCACAAACATTTCCAAAGCCAAAACTTGTTCCCTTTTCCAGTTCATAATTTATGCCAAACAAACCCATAAACACTGCCTCAAATTTATTAAAGCGCCTTCCATTTTCAACCACCAACTCATATGCGATGTAAGTCAGTTACTTCATGGAAAGTTGCGATGGATCTCCTCGGAGCCCCTAAGCTGTTAATCTTTCGGCAACTTCCTAATTACTTTTGCAGGGGAGTAACTTTTATTTTGATTTTGCAAATTGTTTGCTCCGCCGAACCACACATCACCACATATACACCCTTATTTCCAAGTCCTGCAATTGAGGAAGCCCCGTCTTCTTTTGTCAACTCCACTCTTTCTGCAGTCTGATTTGCACTAAATCAAATCACTTTTTAACCAACAGGAACTGGGCAGAGCGAGGAAGAAATCGGAGCAAGGAACATGGAGTGACCAGCAGCAGGAAAGTGGACAAAGTGACAGGCGATAGCCACAAAACAACACAGGCGAAGGAGGAAAGCAGGCCAGTTGACAGGAGCTCAGCCAATAAAAGCCAACCAAACTCAGTCTGGGCCAAATTTGGACACACTGATGCAAAAAGGCGGAGGAGGAAGCCACCAGCAGCAGCAGCAGCAACCGCAGCAAAACAAAACTGAAAACGGAAAAGTTGCTCTGAAACAGACTGCAAAAGGGGACTGAGGGGATTGAGGGGAGCAGCCAGCGGAAGCCGAGGCTGAAAAGTTGCCAAATTTGGTAGACAGACCCCTTTCTGGCCATCTCGTTCCCACCTCCAGCCGGAACAGTTAGCAGCAGCTGGAATTTGATTTTAACGCTTATTCGAGAGCTTGGGATCTGTTTGTGGCACCAGCCACTGACAACCATCACCAGGCAGGAGCAACTGGCAGCCGAATTAAAGCCAGCACCAGGAGAACTCCGCCCCAACTCCGCTTGGAAGCTACGCATCAATGGCAACACATTGAGATTGGCTGTCAAAGGGGAGCATCCGGATTCCGGATTCCGGAAACGGGAGTGGAGCGGAGCGGAGTGGAGCCGTGGAAATGTTCGCCACTTGCGGCGACACATGCTCTGACAATTCATTGACTCCTCGCAGCACCCACACCCACTAAGCCAACCTCCAACCTACACCATGGGACTCCTTCCTCTGATCCTGCTCCTATGCCTAACCATGTCCACCTCGGTCAGCGGCTATCTGAACATTTTCATCAGCCACCACGAGGTGATGAAACTGATGGGTAAGTCCAGTCTCATTTCCGCTTCTAATCCATTAATGAAACTTCGATTGGGCCACCGCCACACCCACTCCACGAGCAGGACACCCCGGACACCCAGGATCTATGATTAATAGTTGGAGGCCAAAGTGCGACAGGACAAATTCATTGATCCCTAAACACGAAAACACAAACAGTCCCCGGAGTCGCAGACCATGTCACAGTCATTAATAGTTCCGAAATTATAGTTGACCATTAAAGAAAGGTTGTTGCTGGACTCTCGGACGAGGGGAGGTGGAACTATATGGCCATACTTAGTGGCGAAACCAAAACAAATCGCACACAAATCGATTTCCGCTGGGCCTAAACCACCCACCTTCGCCTTGCTGACAGCTGCAAGTAGCTTTCCCCATTTTCCGTTTCCCTCGAACTTTTCCTTTGCCTCCCCACATTTCCATGTTTTCGCCGTTCGCCATTCGCCGTTCCCTGTTTGTTTTCTTGTTTTTCCGTTTGCGGCTCCACGCGAATTCCCGTTATTGATGGCGCCGGCTCCAGATCGAGCCAAGGCCAAGTTCCCCAGCCCACTCCCCCACTCCTCACCTCCTCCAGATGGGAGTTACACGGATTTCATAGACGCGCCAAGGAGGAATGGCCTCGTGCTCGTCGTTTGGCTCGCGACTTTCCTGCTCCTCAGGTTGATTAATGGATCGCAGGAACGGGAATGGAGGTGGAGCTGGGAGTGGAGTGGCAACTCCGATGGGAAGGCACGGAAACTGGCCTAGTTCGCGGTCCCACTCCATCACTCGATGTTTAGCTGGTCACAGCATGTTCCGGCACTTAGCTGTAATTGGAGCATAAATGCGTCCATCTCATTATGCAGGTTCCTAGCTGCCAAATCAGAGCGCTTCAATTAGTTGATGGCGTAAAAGTAATCCACAATCAGATGGATACTAGATTGATGGATGAATGAGCTGCCACCATCTCCTGTCGTCCATCATTCCATCGTTCCCGCCTTAAAGCCATTCAAATGCATCCGGTTCAATGGGGCAAGTGGGCTCTTTCCTGGCAATTGCACCTTATAAACAACTTGTTCCGCCATTTCAACTATTTATCCCCCTGCAAATCGGATTTCATTGGCGACACTTTGCCTGGCGAGGATTCCTTTCGAGCTGCCTCTCTCCGCTTCTTGGAGGACCTGCCTCCACTTCTAAAAGCTCGTTATATTTCTAACGACCAGTTAACACCCCTGAAAACTCGCCCATCCGCCATTTGTGATGGCTGCCACCCTCCGAGTTGCTTCGATTTGAAAATTAACAAGCAGCATGAAATCAAACAAACTGACCCTCATCCTCCATCTTCTCATTTCCCGCACCCCAGATGAAAAATTCCTGTGCATGATTCTCCCTTGGACTTCCACCTCATTTCCCTTTCATCCTCCGCTGCTTCTCGGTCTCCATGGGAGTTCCTTCATGTGGAAGGCTCGTCACGGATGCACGAACTAGTGCCCATCCCATTCGACTTCCAGCCAACTTTTCCTGGACTCTTGCTGCATTTCCCACATGGAAATGAGGGCTTTTCTTCCAACCATTTGTTGTGCACTTTTCGGCTTCTCTGGTGCAAGAGTAAACAAAGTTCATTGCTTTCTCCATTTGGTATCAATTGTCACAGCCGAATCCCTGGACTTTCCCTTCCCGGGACACCCAATCCCCTCGATGAAGTGTCGAAAGCATTAAAATTAAACATTTTCTGCGCTTTTGTTGAGATTTTCCGCCCTGAGTTCAATTTGGATGTGTTGTCCCAGCAACGAACCGTTTTCCCCGTTGCCACCGACACCGCCACCCCCTCTCCCCCTCTCCCATTTTCCGACCTTCCGCTGAAGACTTTCCTGTTCAAGGGTGCGTAAAAATGCAATTTCAACAAGTTTCGCTTTGATGTGCACACTTTTTCTTTGCCACCCGATCCGATCCCCTCGGACCAGCTTCCCAGTGCCCCACCCTAAGGGTGGACCACAACCTTCGGCGGGTACGGTCTGCATTTCCCTGCGAATGAAAAGTTAATGCAAAAGAAAATTATTTTTAATGAATAGAAAACAGCTCGAAATCCGCACATTAATTTACCCCCTGTTACATGTTTTCTTTCAAGGGTGGCTTGGCATCTGGAATCCGTCTTTATTGCTTCCAAAGGGGGGCAATCAGAAACTGTGCCAATTGAACTGGCAATCCTCATCGCTGATTCATAGGACAATTAGCAGGAACACCCTTAATCAGCGACGGGGGAAGCTGCCTCCCCTGAGATCGGCGGAGGAGGAGGAGGATGGGGATGGGGGGCAGGAGTGCACTCTGCCAACTAATGGCACTAATTACCCCCTTAATCTCATATGCAAATAGTGTCTCCTCTTGCTGGCAATGCGAGATTGCAGGCTCACCTTAGCCAGCCAGTTTCCGCCTTTTTCCGCCCTTTTCCGCCTTCACCCTTCACTTGCTCCCCATCTCCAGAGCTCCCTTCCCCACCCATGAGAATATGAGTGCGGTTGCAGCGTCACGTGTGCGCGGCGGAGTCATTCAACGGAGACAATCGCAATGGCAGGAAAAATTATGGCCAGGGAGCAAGACAGGTGGGGCGGTATTGAAGAAGGGTCTGGAGGAGGGGTCTGAAGGAGGGAATATCCAGAGGAGAGCTGGGAAGAAAGGCGCCTTCATAAAGGCGGCGGAACTTTCGCAGGCAAAGTTGGCGGCACCGTGATATGAAAGACGAGCAAAGTTTGGCATTACAGGCATTAGGGGAAGGGGTATGATGGGGGATTCCAGAAGATATCCAACTTGGAGCAGGACGAACTTGTGCAGGGGGTGAGAACTGCCAATGGATGCTGCTTAAAGTGCAATTCAGGATTGTGCTCCCAGTGAAGCCAATCGAGGTGACAGGCATTACACGGGTTAGGAGGATGGAGAGACGGGAGTGGTGGAGCAGCTGCGACATCCCAGAAATCAGAGCTGAATTAATTGAGACAGTCATTTATTCAAATGCCTCCTGCCTAAAAGGGGAAGGAGGGGAAGGACAAAAGGGCACAGGATTTGATGGCAAGCACTTTGGGGTTATGTTTGTGTTTTTCACTTTCCACTAGCTCAAAGAGCTTCGTGGGTTGGTAGGTGGGAAAGTGGTGCACTTGGCCCACTCTGAAAGCCAGGTTAAAAACGCGACGGGGAGCAAAGCAATTTGGGACTCAAAAACAAGCCAGAAATGGTGGAATAGTAAAAGGCGACTGGAAAGCGCATAGAAAGCCGTGCTGCTGGGGAGAATCAGTCTGAAGATGTAGATGAAGCTGGGAGCGGGATGAAAGCTAACGAAAAATGCTTTTTCTTGTTCTGTAATTGGATTTAAAATTGTTTTAAGCAGCTAGCGAGCGCTTTGTTCTATCCTAAATGCAGGCGGTTTCGTCCTGCGCCAATCATCCCCTCACTCGGTCCGCCGGAAGCGGAATTGCTACATTCAACATCCGGCGGAGTCGGAGTGGAGTCGGGGGAAGAGCTCGAGGAAGAGCTCGAACTTGAAGCGGGTAAACCCCAGGCATTCCTTCCTTCCCAGCCTGGTGAAAGGCGAACTTGGCCTGATCCCGTGGAGTAAATAATGCGCCCCTGAAAAGGGGGGCGTAGAATAGAAATAGGAAGAGCAACAATAAAAGCGGATGAAGAAATTTAATTTCACGTCGTTTTAACTCAAGCAGCTCGTCTTTCAACGCCAGCGGGTGGGGAGTTCGAATGGAGAGTGGGAAAGATCAGGACATCCAGGACTTCTGAGCCCGCCAATACTAGCTACTCTGTCCTATGATGAAGCAGTCGCAGTTGACACCTTTTAATATCTCCAACCCGAGCAGCTTCCCCCAGGACGCCTGTCGCTCCTCATTTCGAACCGGAGAATAACTCGAGACACTCCTTGCTTCCTCGCCTGCTGGTGACGGATTCGATTTCGATTATTATTGTGTCTTGGGCTTTGTTTACCCACCAGCATTGTCACCTAGTGTTGCCCCCTTTCCAGCATCCCCGTCCTTTCCTTTCCTTTGAGAAAATCAATTTCCGCTTAATGGCAGAGAGAAGCGCTCGAGGGGAGTGTAAACAGCAAATGCACAAAGTTTGCTCAGCGGGAAGAATCTGCGGCTCTAATGGAGTGGGTGTGCCCAGCAAATTGCGGGGAAACTTTCGCTGCACGTCTGCAGTGCATCCGCATCCGCATCAGCATCCGCAACTCTCTCATCGCATATCCTGTTGGTTATTTTCTGGCATCCCCGCAGGACTCGAGGCGGACCTGTTCTATGTGCACGAGGGAGCCATCAACACATACGCAATGCACTTCACCGTTCCAGTGCCCGCGGATGTCCACGAGCTGGAGTTCTCCTGGCAGAGTCTGATTGCCTACCCAGTGAGTAGCCAGGAGTGGTCATCTAGAACCTGCGATAATTAACCATTCCACTCCCGCCCAGCTGCCCTACGCCATTAGTATTGAGTACAACAACGACCAGGAGGCACTGGGCACGCCCACGCTGAGCATACCGCACAAGGGTCTGGTTCCACAGGAGATCGAGTCCTTCCTGGTTTACCTGCCCTGCACCGGAAATGCGAGCCTACAGATGCCCGTCAATGTCAACATGGTGGTGCGTGCTCCTCCGCGATTCAACGACACCCGGCTCCACTTCAAGCGCAACAAGATCTGCGCCAAGGGTGAGTACACCGGGAGAGCTCCATCGCCCACGCCCACTTATCCATCCATCACTCATCGGAATTCCGTTCCGCAGGCATCTCACCTGAGCCCAATCAATCGCCGGCGCCAGCCCATGCCCCCTCCCAAGGACCCGCCCTGCTCAGTGCCGCCGCCTGTGCTCTGGGTTTGGTTCTGGCCGTGGGTCTAGTGGCCAGCATGATGTATGTGAGGGCGCGCAAACAGCTTCGCCAGGACTCGCTGCAGTGGGTTACACGCCAATCCCCCAGTGCCATGCCACTCTATTAACACTCATCCCCTCATATTTTTAGCACCAGCTTCACCACCGCAGCTTATGGCAGCCACCAAAACGTGTTCATCCGCCTGGATCCCCTGGGAAGACCGCCGAGCGCCACTGGATCCTATGCGACCATTGCCAGCCTCAACAAATACCCTGCGGACAGCAAAAAGTCGTGCAGCATATTCGACCGTAAGTTCATTACCCACTCGCCCACATCGCTGACCCCCAAACAAACTCCCCTAACGTACGCCCCCCCGGCACTCCCACGACCAATCCACAGGTTTCAGGAGCTCACCCACACCCACGCCGTATGCCACCGCCCTGCTGCCCATGAACCTGGAACAGACCGCAGAGACGATTTACTCCAAGCCGGAGTCGATCTGTCCCTCGAGGATTTCCTACTACGCCTCCTCGCAACTGACCCAGGTGAGTGCCACTATCTAACCCACTATCGACCCTCCCAGGGGCTTGATTGGATTTGAAATGGGCCCAGGATTCCGATTGGGACCCACTGCGAAATCAAAGCCTTTGATATATTACGACACGTGGCAGGCGCAAATGGAAATGGAGATACCCTTGAAGCAGACTTCGCTTTCCCGTTGCCAGGACCACCATCTAATTTGTGCCAAGGACCACTCGATTGCTCCCCAGGCGGAGGACCCGCTCCCACCCCTCCTGAGCCACCTTTCCTCGACGATAAAAATTAAATTCTAATTTATATTTACGAGCTGATAAAGCTCCCGTAGTGCGTTAAACTCGAAACAAGAGCCATTCATAAATATGCGGCTTTTCCCACCCGCTCTCCTCGGGATGTCTGGATGCCTGGATGTCTGGGTCTGATTTCGAAGGGGGGAACTTCGTGTGGCACTCACGTACTTCGTGTGGCAGGTGGCAGGGAAGTGGAAGTGGAAGTGGAAGCTGGGCGCAGGTGCAGGCGACACACAAACCCAGTGCCTCCAGAGGCGGAGCATGTGAGTCTCTCGAGGAAGGAGCAGGAGGTGGAATGTCCGCCCAGATAAGCGAAAGGTGCTCCATTCAGGGAGACGCAGACAGTCTGCCCCTGTTTATCTCGGCTGTTGCTTCCAATCCAGTGAGTTTTAGGCAATGCATGCGCCTTGGGCGAAAATTAGTGAACTTAATCCAAACTAACCACTGAATGAACCCAAACCATTAGAGTTCCTTCATACCCCACTGGGATTATGTTCCAACTTGGGAGTGGAAGTCCTTCGTTCCCTCTTTAAAGACGCTTCTCCCTCTAGGGGAACATTAGCATTTCTTTCGAGCCAAGTTAACTTCTTGGCGTCTAGGAAATCTCTGCCGAATTGGAATAAATTATTTAGCAGCCTCTTTCAATTGTTGTCCTTGTAAACATTCCTGGATCCCACTCTGGCATTTTTCCAGACTCCCCAACATCGTGATGTCTGGCCCATTTTCGTCACCAAGTTCTAACGCAATTTCCATCGGCCCATAATTAAATATTCAATTTCCCTGGAAACTGGAGGGGATTTTATGTGCTCAGCTTAATTCATCTCCTTCGGCCTGATCCGCCGCTCTTTGCCCAGCGATTCCTGTTTGCTTAGACTTCAATTTCATCCTCATTATGGGAACAGCCTCCAATCGCAGATGGAGTGGGGGCAAGAGCTGCTCCTCCATCCTCCTTCCTCCATCCACTTACACGGCTATCGGGCCACAGAGAATGCCAAGAGTCATATCCATTTGGATTCGCCTCTATCTAGTGGAAGGATGCACGCATCGAAGCAGACGGCTGGGAATTAAATGAATTCCCCGTCCCCCTCTCGCTCGCTCTATCCCACTCGCACGCTCTCCAGGGTACTCATGTACTATATATACCCCTTCCACCGAAATTCAAGGGGATGCAGAGTGGAGCTGGAAGTGGGGATGCGGTTGGGGTGAGAGTGCTTGCCATAATTATTGTTGTTCCGTTATGTTCAGCTATCCAAAGGATCCTTGCCCCCCATCCCCCTTCGTTTTGGCCAGCCTTTGGGCCATGTGTGAGCGTTAAGCGAAGTATGGCACATTTGGGGGCAGAAACAAGAGGCGAACGCACTCATTTAGTCAAACAATTATATCCAATTGCACACAGATACTCCACGCACACACATCTCTGTTCATTTGTGTGGAAATATCTCATTTGGGTGTGGAACCACCCCTCTTCCCGCCCTGCGGATTCTATTAAATCAGTCTATAAACGTCGGCCAAATTGCTTTAATGTGCAGCGAAAGTTTAGCAAAAAGCAGTTACAATGGGCTACAATGGTTGCAAGGAGGTGGGGGGGTGGAACTAGGGGAACTCAGGGAACTCAGGGGAAGTAGTGGCACATAACAATAAAAACAGCAGCGAACAGAAACCAGACTACAGCTGTTGAAACATGACTTTGTGCTTGTTTAGAAACACTTGCAAAATATTATTGCAGCACCAACAACAAAAGGCAAATTCCAAGGGGCTGCTAAAACCAAGGACAACAGGGCGGATGCGCAATGTGCGGGATCCATTGAAACAGAATCTAAGCGAGGCATTAGCGTATTGGATCAGCTGGAGGAGAGAGAAAAACTGGAGCAAACAGTGGAATCAGAGCGAAAGGAACCAGAACCCAGAACCCAGAACCGAGATGTAATGGGTTAAGAGAAGCCGGGAACATCGTGCCACACATTTGAATGGCATCATTAGGGAGAAAGTTGTCGAAGCAAGTACTTGGGCGTACTTGCAGCACGGAGGAAATTGCGAGGCGCGGAGCCAAGGAAAGTTGGAAATTAATTTCCACGGAACTGCGAGCATGTCCTCCTGTTTTATGGAGATTACTGGATCGACAAATGGCTGACTAACCTGAGCAGCAGCGGGAACAGGTGCTAATTAAAAATGTTGTTGTCGCCCCATTAGGGAAATTTGTAAATCAACCTGCTCCGCGGGGGTGGAGCCCAGCTCCACGGGGGGATGTTCCGGGAAAAGGGGAGCTGGCTATCTAGGCCCAGGGAGTTCTAGCCCCAGTGAAAGTTGGCGACACGTGCACCATTAATGGATTTACTTCTGTCGCTGCTTTTGATTAAAAGGCATTACTTACATACGGAACAAAACTTGGAGGTTGAGGAGAGGAAAGACAGTTAATGGGTGTCGTGGAATGTGACCAGTCAGGTGACGAATCCAAGGGGTTAAGCCGGCGAACAAAAGCCGTCGCCAAAGGTTGACAAATTACCCAAACGTCGCTCGATATTTTTTCAAGTCGCCCAACTCTCAGCCATCCGCTGGGGATTCCCCCTTTGGTCAGGCAAACTGCGGCGGATGCCTTTGTCTGGCATTACACTATATTGATTGCTTCCTGTCAGCCGCAGGAGAGACAAACGGAAGTGGCGGATGTTTCTTTTGTTCCGATTTTCCTTTGTGGTCCAAGGACCCCGCCCCTTTCCCTCTCGCCCTGGGCGCCGTTTACACACTGCACTTTAGTTTTTCGATGGCGCAACATGGAAATGCGGTGAGCGAAAACTGGAGTACAAGACTTCTCCATTAAAACGGGGTCCTCAGCTTTAATTGACGGACTTCATGGGCCAGTTTGAGCACCTTCTTGGGAGCAACGAACTGTGGGGCAAATTAATTTCATTTGCAAAGTCAACAAGCCGAGAAAATCAATGGAGATCCGTGGGGGGACATGTGTAAATTGTGCAACCGCATTATTAAATGCCGAGCTAAAAGGCGGAGAGGGGGGAGGGGGGACGGGCAGACAGGCGAGGGGGTTGGGGCGTGGCCGGAGCACGCAATGGCTAATTGAAAGGCAATTATGCGTGATTAAGTGCGTGTAAGCGGCGACTTTGGTTAAGTATGCGGCACCTTTAATTAGAAAGCAGTGAAACGCCGGCCAGCCGACATCTTCCCCTCTTCAATTATGCATTAGTCGAAAGAACCTTTTTGCTTTGCCCGAAAACGCTTATTAAACGAGCGGCCTAACGAGGTCGACTCATCAAAAGGCCATGCATCAAAGGCGGGCAGGGGGGTGGGGCGGTGCGGGCCATGGCCAAATCGATCAGCCATAAATCAAACGAAATTCAAATTAGTTGGTGCCGGCAAATTAGAAGGCGCACACAGTTTGTCCTGGCAGCGTCGGCCATGCAAATGCCAAAATAATGAGAGTTCAGTTAGTTGGCTCCACAGAAAAAAACAAAAAAAAGGGGGAAAGGCTGAGCAAAAAGTCAGACGGAGAGGCTTTCAACCTTGATTAAAGGCTTTTCCCCAGGGGCAAGCGGTGGGGAAATGGCCAAAGACCTGTTGTCAGGTAAATTGAAATATAATTGAGCCAAAGGCGAGCAGGACGCACTGACAGCTCCACCTGGCAGCCAGCATTTTGCCAGCTTTTCATCTGGTTCCACTTCACTGCCATGGCTTATTAGGAGAAGGCGACAGGTCGTATACGTGATACGTACAAAATGCTGTCATTGCCGACTGAAGTAAAATTCAGTGGTAGTGGCAAAATAACGCATAGCAGCAGCATCAGCAGCATTTTGCATAGTTGCATTTTGTGTCAACAATTTTTTGGCACAGTGGTTTTAAAACTATGGCTAGAGAAATCCGTGTTCAATCCGTTGAACAGCATAATTGTTTTAATAAATAAACAGCTCTAAATATCTGGCTAGAAAGCTAAGCAAAATTTGCTTTTTCAATCCTTCACTTGCACTATTTCTTTCAGTTTAAACATGATTGAGTTTAAACCAATTTGATTTATTAATTAATTAAGTTCATTAATTAATGCATAACAGACTGCACTTTTATATTTCTCCTGCTGGTGTGTTAAGCGTAAAGTTTGCCACCGAATTTCGTTAGTGGTTGCCCAACACGAAAGTTGCAGCGGTGAGAGTTCATTAAAATATTTACGCCCACCCGGCCCACTGTGCGGTGTTGGAAAATTGTGTGAAAATGTTGTGCTGCTTTTCCCTCGGCTGCTTGCCAAAAAGTTGGACTGCAGCTTGGGTCTGCCGGCAAGTGACGTGCTGACGGGCGACGTTCTGGCAAAATTGTCATCAAGCGTTTTTAATTACAAGCGGGATTGGTTGGCCGAAGGGGCGTGGCTGGGGCGGTGGAGCAGTGGAGCAGTGGAGCAGTGACGATGGTTGCGGTTGTTGTTCCTGCGGGCAGCCGTAGAGCTGCAAGTGACATAAGCAAATCAGACGCCTGTCAAGTCGTGTGTGTTTCGTTGTTGGCTTACGTCATTCGCAGGACACACCAGCACCCCCGCTCCCTTACTCACCCCGATTGTCATTAGAAATGTCACAACAACCAAGCAGCAGCAGCAGCAGCAGCAGCAGCTGCAGTCCTGTCCTCAAACTGATATCTCGTATCCTTGACGCCCAGCTGCAAATTCTGTTTCGAAATTCCAGCTGCCCCCGCCCCGCCCCGCCCATCGCATCGCATCATGATCCCAAAATGGTCGAGGCCATTGGCAATTGGCAGTTATTTTTTGGCCTTCTCGGCCATTTCGAATTTCAAATGAAATGGCCAGCAATAATGGCCCGTCGTTTGACATTCGCATTTAATATCGAAAGCCGAAATGAACATTTTCATTTGCAATTTAAGTTGGGTGGGGCAGCACTCCAATAAAGTCCATGGCCCCCATCTTATATATTGGAAACAAACATTGGCCAAATTTCCTTTTAATTTTACTGACATTTTTCGCATTTATTGGCCTGCTCACGCAGTGGAATATCTGAAGTATTTCTTCAATGACAATCAGCTAAGATTGAGCGCAATATGGCCAAGAGAGCAGAAGTCAATTGAAGTACACAATTTGTGTATTTTAAACTGAACCGTATCCTTTAACTATTTGCTAAGCCACTCGAAGCACTTTGGAAAAGTTTGCGAGATTGACGAAAGGGCGATACGTAGTGTTTCTAGGAATGCTGAAGGGATTTAATTTATTTACTGAAGAGGTTAGAAGTCACTTTAATTGCACAACATATATATATTCATGCCAATTGCAGAAAACGGTTTGCTTACGAGCTGCAAAGCAATTTGAATTGCTTTAACATTAAGTTAAAGTCAATTGCATTTTCGCATTTAATGATGAACCGATTAATTGCATTCTAATCACAGTTGAACGGGGCCAATTAGCGCATTAGGCACATGTGCTGCCAGAGTTGAAGACTTCCCTCAAAGGATTCGGTATGCGGCCAGGACTCGAATGTAACCAGACAGCTTCAAGGTCTGGCAGACGATCTGGATCTCTGGATGGGGCCTTTGCATGTGAGTCCCTGAGGATTTATGGCTCAGCCAGGACATGCCCCACCAGTTGACCAACCGCAGCCAGCCACAGGACCTCCTCCTGCTCCGCCTTCGCCTCCGCCTCCACCTCTTACTCGGTGGGACAGCTTTGATGATGGAGTGCGATATTGTTGCGTTTTAATTGAATTTTCTTTGTGGGCCAAAAGCAGCAGCAGCACGACAATCACAATAAAGGACAAACAGCAGGAATCGCAGGATTCGCAGGCGGGGAGCAGGACATCGGGGGCGGCTCCAGGAAAGTGGCAATGAAGGCAATAATGAAATGAAATTCACTAACAAAAGGCAGCCAACTATTGTTTTTATTGCCTTTTGTCGCTCTGGCTGTTGCGAATGTGCTGCAATTGTGTCGTTTGGCTTCCTCGCGGCGGTCGTGTCCTTTTGTCCTGCCTTTTGCGGGAGCTGTTGTCAGACCACACCAAATAATATAATTCCCGCATATTGCCGTCGGTGGCTTTTAATAAAAACGCCATCCACCTGCTGCTGCTCCTCCTCCTGCTCCTCCTGCTGCTCCTCCTGCTGATGGAGATTTAGTGTCCAGGGAAAAGCCACTCGGATCCACTTGAACCCGGCCGCAGTTATGCAGATTTCCGAGGGAGTTGTGCAGATTTTTCTTGTGTTTATTAGACCAAGTTGCCATCTTTTCCTCTATTTTCATTTCGGCCAACTGTTCCATGTTGTGCGGGTATAAATGTGCTGTGTAGGCTGCAATTAAAGCGAACGAACTGAGTTGGCCAACTCGACCAGCCCCATTCCATAAGCGACTTCTGGTTATCTGGCAGCAGACTTTGTTTGCCCAAGACGAGTTCGCCATTTCCTACAGCTGAGCACCCCCCAGTTCCAGCAATGGAAAATTCCCCCCACCGACGGCTGTGCAAACATAATGCTCGGCGAATTAAAGCTTTTTTGCCAGCCAATAAATTATTCATGCTGTAAGACAAGCGAGCGGATAGGTCGAGGGGCTAAATTATGGCTGAAGAAGATGTGGGAGTGCCTTGGAGCGGAAACGGAACTCAATTCATTAAAATGAATGAACGGAGGAGCGCAGCCGAGTGCATGACTAACGGTAAACGGATGCAAGCCGAAAGATGCAAATCCGGCAGCTGAAATTGCTGTTTCTGTTGCCAAAGTCGTTGCCAGTTGGCGTTGCCCTTTTTCGGGCGGAATGGGTAGTTGCTCTCGGGTGGCAAAAGGGTCCTTAGTTGGCCCAAATTAGATGGGGCACGGAAATATGGAAATTTATACAGTTTCCTTGACTCAAGTGTCCTGCCACCGAGCGAGCAGCTCACTTGAGCGGAAACCCCCACTCGGTTGGTAATCTTGATTGCCATATTGGATCAAAGTCACCTAAACAGGGGGAAGTCGAATTTCAGTGCTTATATATTAATGGCTGAATTTATTATTAATAGCTTGGTGTGTTAGGTGCAATCAACCCACATTTTATAAATGCAATGCTTAAAGAGCGTTTAATACACGTGGGGGCAAGTTGAGTGAATAATTTTAATGTCAATATACATTTCCACTGCAATGCTGCCTTTCAAAAAGAGCTAGAATAATGGAGTGTGTGTGCACTGTATAAATTTAAATCCAGTACAATAAGCAAACATTAATTAGGACCATAACAATGCTAGTGGCTTGTTATTATGGCTGTTTATTTAGCATTTAATTAATTTCATTTGTTTTTTGCCTTCAGCCTTGCAGCCTGTCGACGCCAAAGAGCATTCGCAGCAACGGCAATGGCAACTGCACCAGTGGAAGTGGCAGCCTCAGTCTTTTTGGTGGCATCCCCACCGGCAGCACCATCACCATGGCCAGTCACGGCGAGAAGGGCAACCAGCGGCTGCGACGGATACCCAGTGTCCAGCCCGGCGCCCTCAGCTACGAGGAGCTGGTCAGGGAGGGCACCTTCGGCAGGATCTATGCCGGCAAGCTGGGCGAGTCCTGCGAGGCGCTGGTGAAGACCGTCATCGATGGCGCCTCGCTCACCCAGGTGGCCTGCCTGCTGCAGGACGCCTCCCTGCTGATCGGCGTCAGTCATCAGCACATCCTGGCACCGCTGCTGGCCAACACGGAGCTGCCGGGTCCGCCGGAGATAGCCTATCCCCATCCGTCCAAGGGCAATCTCAAGATGTAAGTGGAGATGGCTAAATGTCCTTATATTACCAATGTTAAAATCACATTCTTACCCAATAAGGTACTTGCAAAAGTCGCGGGAATCGAGCACGGCATTGAGTACGCGCCAGCTGGTTGAGTTTGGGCTGCACATCACCAAGGGATTGGCCTATCTGCACTCCCTGGGAATCGTGCACAAGGACATTGCCACACGCAATTGCTAGTGAGTTTCCAGTACATGCACCCACTCCTTGGGCTTTAGCCTAATATAGCATTATTATTATTTTATATACATCATATTATATTTTTGCAGCCTTGACGAGGAGTCCTATGTGAAGATCTGCGACAGCGCCCTGTCCCGCGATCTCTTCCCGGACGACTACGACTGTCTGGGCGACAATGAGAATCGGCCACTGAAGTGGCTATCGCTGGAATCGCTCCAGAAACGGGTCTATGCCACCCAGGGCGATGTGTGGGCCTTGGGCGTGACCTACTGGGAGCTGGTCACGCTGGCCCAGATGCCGCACGAGGAGGTGGATATATTCGAGCTTACCAATTACTTGGCTGCCGGCTTCCGGCTGGAGCAGCCCGTCAACTGCCCAGATGAATTGTAAGTAGCCCGCCCCCTGCCCTTTGGAAAGACTGCTGAGTTTGCAAAAATATAAATATACATTTCACTCTCTCCTCGATACACCTTAACCAAACCCCCAGCTTCACGGTCATGAACTGCTGCTGGCACTGCGAGGCCAAACAGCGACCCACACCCTCCCAGTTGCTATCGTATCTGCAGGACTTCCATGCGGATCTGGGCATGTACATCTAAGCGAGACGAAGGACTGACGGACTGAGCATGGGGATGAGGATGGGCGGTATCCAGTGGAGTCGAGCGGAGCGAAGCCCAAAATAAATTAATTGAAACTTTTGCATTTTAAATGTGAGATTAAATGTGAATTTACCTGTTAGAGTTTGGCGCAAAACCAATTACACTGAAAGCCAGCTAACTTCAGATACGTAAGCACACGCATATACACACACCAGTACACTGGGGTGGACCTCTATGACTTCAATACATAACTATTAAACTTAATAAATGCAGTTCATTTAACAAATAGCTCAACAACACCCAAACAGTCTCAAGAGGTATCTGCAATAAGCTACAGACCACATTGCGTATGAGCGATGTGCGCGCAAATGAACATCGAATACTTTAGGGCCACACGGCGTATGAGTGATGCACTGGCTGGCCTTAAAGTTCAATCTTACTTCGAACACAGTGCCACTAAGGCCACACTTTTCACCAACGCACTGCCCCTGAAAGCCATGCATCAAGGCGAGTCAAAAGTCAAATAGCAACTGAGGTCCACCCAACAATAGAGAAGCTATCATTTTCCAACCCGTTGACACCAGGCCCGGGTTCGAAATATCCCCCGAGCGGCATGTGGGTTAAGCGTTAGATAAAACTGACATTTAAGTAGTTAGCAATTGAATAACAAACACTCACACGCAGCGAAACATTCCAAAACACACACAAGGACACACACACACACACACACGGACACGAACCTTAAATGATAAATGAATGTGAATTATTGATGTGCATATTTTATTGAATGTGTGTAGCGTGTAAGCACAGGACGAAGGATTGAACGGGAAGAGATGCGACAACAGGATGCGGAATCTTTTGTTCACGAATGTTGTCCTCGAGATTGTTACGAATGCGATATATTTATTTACCTTGATTATTATTATTACTATTGCGTATGTCATAAGGGAGGAAGTTCAAAACAGAATCTGAATCAGGTGAAAAGCAAAAAGAGCAAATGTTAAACCGATGGCAAACAACCGATAAACATTATTCACACCCACATTCCCATACACATTCACATCCAAACCCACGACCACAAACACAACTACACTCGCTTGCATAGAGATCCCTTAGCACCTTAACCCCAGAATGCCCTACAATCTCGCAACTTGCTCGCATAACGCACTAATTCACTTTCGGGGAAACTTGTCGCAATCGTTTCGTTGCTCAATTATTTCGAACTCAAAGGACAGGGGAATAATCTCCGCTTCTGGCAGGATGCGCCATGAAATATGCAATATGCAGCTGGCTTTTCGCTCAGTGCATTTGTGAGTGTCTGCGTTCGCTTCTCAACCTGTCACTTGGCCCCAATCCGAGCCAAAATCTCCAGCTTAAGACGTCCTTGCTGTTTGTGTACGCCTTTTAGTTGAATTAGCCAGAAATTGTATCTCTTTCTGTCTCTGTTTCTATCTCTGTATCCATTTCCTCCGAGTTATGTATTAATTTGCCTTTCCGTTAGCCAAGCCAGGCGGCAACTTAAAGTTGTCAAGCCCCAAAAAGCCCCACATCCCCCAGAAGACTTGGAATATGAAGTGGGATGGGACTGGATGTGTCAGAAGACTTTGGAGATGATTTATTCAAGTGGGGGCAGCCATCCTCGCCCATCCCAACTTATTTTCCAATTAATAAATAGCTAAAGGCCGCCACTTAAACGTAGTTTAAATGTTCTCTCTGTAGTAATCAAAGAATAAAGAATCTGCAAGAAATGCAAATAAGAACACAACCAGCAGTCCGCACCGAATTAACTAAGGTTGAAATAGAAAATAGTTCCAAACCAGCAGCTGCTTATTCGTCTAGCTACGTAAGCCATCTTCGATATTGTTTATTCTTAAGCTTCGCACTCGACTATGGAAATGTTACTAAGCAAATACTGAAATACTGAACTGTAAACTATCAAAGCTCTTTGCATTTAATAAATATCCCCAAAAAAATAAGGCTGCCAGGCAGCCAACTCCGCACACTCACAGAAAAACACCCACACGAACGCCAACAATTATAGAAATCCCGGTGGTATGAGGAGAACTTTAAATATATTATAAAGCTAAGAGACGGAGCTCTTGCAATCAAGGGAGCAGCCCACTACTATAACTAACTGAATGTGTTTCATGTTTATATATGTGTACGTGAGTGTATGTCTATGACTAAACGTATATTTTGTCGTCAAATTGAAAACCTACTGTAAAGGCTATTAAGAGGAAAAGCAACACCAATACCAGCACACACACACTCGCACACCAGCACACCAGCACACCAGCACACCAGCACACCAACACACCAACACACACACTAAGAAACACACACAGAAAGCGGAAGCCTAGAAACCACAAAGCAAAACAAGTTGTCATTCACTCTACATATGTCTCACTCCTTAAGCTCTATATAGATGTATCCCTGTATCCAACTTTTAGATATACTCTAGCGTATGATTGTATGTGTATACGAAAACTCGAAACTAATGTGTTTTCGTCTAGAAACGAAATGAAGAAGGAATATCTGCTAAGACACACAGACACTCGTAACACTCGAAATACTCAAAACACCCTGACACCTTTGAGACCACCCCCCACCCACCCCTCTACTCTAACCGAATGCTATTCTAAGTGGGCGTGGCACCAAGACAAAGCTAAGAACCAGAACGACAAGCTTAAGCAGAAATTCAATTTTTGTGAAGAGCGGCAGCCGGAAAATGAAAAACAGCAAAGCCGAAAAACATAAGAACATAAAAACATAAAAACTTAAAAACTCAGAAACCAAACAAACAAAAAACAAAGCAAATAAATTAAATGTTCCTTTTGAATCATAAACAAAAAATTGCAAACGAGCAATCGCAGTGCTTTATTAATCAACTGAAGGGTGGCAAAATGGGGGGCAGTCGGCGGAAAAAATCAGGATGCATCAAGGGCTGTGGGGCGGAACCGCTGGACGGAACTCATCCATTCCATGCGAGGGCACGTTCGCACACAACAGGAGCGGTTCAAGGACCCGCGAGCACTGGGCGCGCCCAAAAGGGGCCCGATTTACCGAATGAACCATAATATTTAATGCTATTTATGGCGTAAGCTTAAGTAAGCATAAGTGAGGTAAGTAAAAGGTGTAACCTCGGCCTGTTTGAACCGCCCCTGGTCAGGGTCGCCCTCCTTCGAGCCAGGAAAACATATTTGCAGTGCGTGTCAAAAACTGAGCGATGCGCCTTTGCTGACCCATGCTACCCTTTCTTCGTGGGCTACGTTTGTGCCGCACTAATTACGAAAAATGTTGGCTCAGTGGTACCGAACTTCGTTTACCCTGCAGCGGAGAAATAGAAATCTCAGGGAAAAATTAGTTGCTGCAACGTAACTTAATGAGTGCATATATCATATTCTGAAGTTGGCACTTAAAAGGAGTACGAAATTTGTAGAGCATCCAAGGTTGGCATACACCCATGGTGCCCACTGTACGCCGGGTGAACTGAATCACTTTTCTCTTGTTGGGAGCTGTCACTGGACATTCGCTTTTTCATTCGCTTCCATCCTCCGAACGACAAAACTTTGAGTGGCAGCCCCGCCAGATTGGGGGGCGTGTCCTGCGGGGGCTGCAGTTGCGTTATGTGTTTGCCTTTGAGCCGGCAAAAAATGGAATCGGAAAACAAAACAAACTAAATGGGAAAATCCGTGCCCAAGTTTGCCGTGGAACAACATCGTTGTACGGGGAAAATGGGAAATCGGAAGTGCGGGAAACGGAAGTCTACAACGCGTACATACGCATACACAGGCATCAACAGGTGTCCCTTCTGGGGGGGTTTGGGCCTTTCCACGGGATTAAGTTTTGTAATTAGCCCAGTCTGATTGAATTGGAAATCATGTTTGGGAATTAATGAGCAATTAGTTGACGCATTATGAGAGCGTCCGTCTCATCCACTTATGGCTGGTATATGGTATAGATGGGGTTTACAAATAATTTGTTTTAAACTCAATGAAAGAGTTTGATTTAAAAGATAATGAGGCATTTTATAGATCAGCATTACTTAGCTACGTAAGCAGCAGCTTTATGTGCAACATTTGATTGCTTCTCCCTTTTAAGTGGTCAGTTTACATATTGCATATGTATGATGCTGATGACTTAACGAAAAAACAAGCATTTATTCTGAAAGTATTTATAAATATGTACTTCAAAGTGCAATAGTGCAGGGTAACTGAGGAACGAGGGGATTGCTTTCGCTGAGGTCAACAAGCCTATTTGGCAGGCATAAATCAGAATTCCTGATTGAGTTTATCGCTATTTTGCCATTTTAATCTATTTAGCATTTAATTGGCAGCCAGAGGAGCTGGGAACAGGCATGCAATATGCAAAACGCTTTTTAAATCATTTAAAAGGCTTTATTATTAATGAATTCAGATGATTTGTGTGGCACGATGAACGCTCCGGAAATCGATACCGCCAGGCACTAAACCAATTATATATGTGTAAACATATCAAGCGGTCTTTTGCTGGCCATGATCGAAATGTTAGATTACAATGTGTATATGTATATATAATGTATGTTTTTATCCTGCGGTTAGCAGTGCATTTTTTACGCGCCATTTTCAACTCAATCGTTTTAATTGTTTATGCAGTCCGCGTTTTGCCTGGAATGTTAAACAAATTGCGGTATTGCGGGCACATTGCATTTTTATCTGCTCCGCATTATGTGCACTCGCTGCAGCACATGTGTTTTTTACCACTTTTAATTAAAATGATGTACAAACCCACATATGTACATATGTACCATACGAGTATACGGTGAGTCCGCAGAACTGCAAACCACAAAATAAATAGACTACCATTCGAATGGCAGGAAATCGCACAACTGAAACTGCGATTATGTTTACGAGTTCTCTGGCGCAAGGCTCGCTGGATTGTTATTACAGCTTCCAGTTATCGCAGAGGATTTTCCATTTGATTAAACGTAAATATTGTACCAAAAACAACGAGCAAAACTACAAGCTGCCAGACTTGAAACGCCAATTGGTTGCGAGAGTTCATCAATTTGACAGCAAAATTCAATGGCCTTTTTTTTGGCCACAAAATGGATTTGCTGCTCCTTGTTAGTTACACGCTGCAGTTGCATTAATTAAAATTTTTCGCCCCAACGAACGGCGAGCAACAATAACCACTGGAATAATTCAACTTGATAGACTTGATAGACAGCAAAAGCGGCAATTAAGCACCCAAGATCGAATCTAATGTTGTGTCTGCCACAACAGCAACAGCCACTGCAACTGCCAACTTATCGCCGGCTGCAGCTTTTGGCCATTTGGGCCCACATTTGTGGGTGGGGCCAGCCCAGTGTCGACAGCGATGGATTACAAAATCAGTCAAAATAAATCAAAGAGCCGCTTGCGAGTGACATGTGCATTACTGAACTGCAGCGCAGAACGATTTGAATTAATTTTAATAGTTGTACTGTAGTTAAAATGCAATTTTCTTCATAAACATTTTTTTTTATTCACTAGTTTTTAAGCGACTTGTTCACTACAGCACTTTAAGGATAACATATTCCGCTAAAAAACAAGCTCACAGTGCCTAAATTTGTAACTTATTATTTAAATATATATATGGTATCCATGAATCTTAATGCATTCCATTAGTTACGTCTTAGCTTAGAGAATAGTATGCTATTAGACCTAGCTAGAAAACCGCCAAGTTCGCATGCCTGCTGCTTCGGCTATTGATAAATAAAATGGCAAAAGCAGTTTACAACTTTCGACCGTTTACAACCAACAAAGGGTCACAAATCAAGTTGGTCCGGAGGGTTGGTTCGTGACTAACCGGAAGTCGCCATGTGCAAGCCATCTCACTCCCCCATCACCCCCCTCGTTTTCCTAGTCGGCCGCCTGCAGTGTGTTGCGATTTAATTAAAGCGCCATTAAGTCGGCAATTAACAACAACAACAACAGCAACAACAGCGGCAGCGACAGCAACCCAAACAAAGGGCAAACAACTTTGACGCCCCGGCTTCGCTTCGGCTTCAGATTTTCCTTTTGTTTTTCCCGCTTCCGTTTCCGCTCTTCCCGCTTTCCCTACGCTTGCACTTGCCGCCGCTGCTGGCGCATTAAATTCTTTTTGCCCTGTTATCGCTTGCAGAATTCATTAGCTATTGCAGGGGGCTCATTCATTGGCCTTCCTTATTTTGCATACTGCTGAAAAAAAGAAAATGCAGAGGGACCCCCCACAAGGGCCGCAACCCTTTGATTTTCCCGGCTAACTGCAGCCCACACCTCAGAAAAAGGCCCCCATTATTCTGCATTCTTCGCGTTGGAACCTTTGAAATTCCGATTCCAAGAATGTGACAAGTTCTTAGGGAATAAGTTTGAATTACTTGGCGCACCGCCGCAAAGGTTATTTCTGAATTGAAGTAGGAAATAGTTCGCTTTAATTTAAATGTGAACTTTTTCGCAACAGTTTCAGGCAAACAAAATAAATGAATAGAATTAGGAAAACCAACTAGATTCAGTAGTGAGGGAAAATTATATTCTCAACAAGTAGTTTTAAATAGTTAATCATAAAAAAAGTTCATACAATTTACATTCATTTATGTTAAAGTGAAAAAATAAGTTAAAATCCACACAATGAAACAATTATAGCTTAAGTGCACCCAAATCGCATAATATGTGCATGTATTACATTTAAACTCATTGGACTTGAAACAATATTTTGGTATTTAAACATGTAATAAAATAGGCTAAAGTTACAAATATTTTTACATTATTTTTATCTTTTCAATGCTCGCCGTTTCGCCCAACTTGTTCATAATATTTTGCGAGCATTTAAATGAAAAACAAATGGAAATGTTGTTATGGCAATTCCCCAATAGAGTATGTACTGATATAATATTATTTCAATGAAAGCCCGAAAGTTGCGGCCTTTTTGGCAACTTGAAGCATACTTAAGTGGAAGCCAAACAAACACACGCATTTAAAGTCAAACAACATTTTATGAAAACCACTCGAAAACGGAAAATTCCTTGAATTCGAAATTACGAGTGTATGCGAGTGAGGAAGGAGTCAACCCATTGTGTGGATTATTATTGCGCCTTTCCATTGTTTAGCATAGCAACTAAACTCGATTTTCCCCACCACTGAAGGGGTGTGCAGTGGGAGGTATTTTGAGAGGGGTTTCTACGGCACAAAAAGCACATTAAAATCATAAAAAATATAAAATAAACCAGCCGCTGCTGCTGCTGCTGCTGCTGCTGTTGCCATTTTCCCCATTTTTCCTAATATTTGACTTTGTTCTTTGGTCCGACGAGAAAGTTTTATTAGGGGTACGTGTCAGGGTTGCCATGTGTGCGGATGTCGGGGGGATGTTTAGGGTTACCCCGGCTTTGGTGCGACGAGTGAACTGAAACTGTCAAAAGTGCACATACCGCTCTTGACATTTTACCAAAGCGCAGCTTGAACTCTGGTCTACAGCGGCGGCCAGGGGGTCATGGGGGGAGGGGGCAATTGGGAAAGTGGGAAAATGGGAAAGTGTCGAGCCAGCTATCGACATTGAAAGCGCAAATGAAAGGGAAGTCCTCCTTTGAATGGCACTGGCAGCTTGCGATGGAATCCCAGACATATCCCAATCCCATGGGGTGGAACCCGCCATCGCTGCAAAGTACTGACGGCACGCGTCCTTTCCTCCCTGCCCCCGGGGGTGGCACGCCCCCTCCCCCGCCCCCGCCCCCACACCCCTGACAAGCAGTTAAAAAAGGCTAAACGGGGACGAGGCATAAACCCAGAAATTTGCTCTCTGTACGTTTATTGCTTTTAAATTTGCCAATTGTCGAATCTGGCGATGCTAAGTGCATGTGTGTGCACTGAAAACAAATTGCTGAGGCAACTCATTATATACTGTAAAAGGCGTCCTGTTTGTGTGCAAACAGTCGGCACGACGAAAATGTGCCTAAAAGTGTTGAGGAAACACCAAACACTTTCTAGATAAAGCTGCTATTTCTGTTTTTGTTATTCATTCAAAGGGGGATCATCAGTTCTTATCAGTTCCTTGACGAAACATTAATAACCTGCCAGTAATAGAATACACAAGTAGAAGCTGTTGGCTGTTTTCGCCAGACTCTTGCCTCCATTCGCACTTCTTTCGGCCAGATAAGAGCGCCCTGTAAAAAAAGTTAATTAAAAAAGAAGCGTCTTGCCCTATAAAAGCTGAGCATTTTCAATAGCTGCCAACAAACGATCCAAGAACGTCGAAGTAGCCCATTCAACATGCGTCTCCTGCTCATCCTGTCCGTTGTCCTGGCCGTGATCCTCGGCTGCCACGCCTACAGCGCCACCTGGGGGCGCAGGGTCAACAACGACTTCCTCCTCTCCCGCACCAGGGAAGTCCGCAACCCGATCAAGAACAACTACTGGAACCTCAACGTGAACTACCCCGCCGGATTCTACAACATCTCCGCCGTGATCGTCTACGACAACTTCAAGAACAGCTCCGGCGCATCTCCCAGTCTCTATTCCGGCGGTCCGGGCTACCGATTCGCCACCGTGAATCTCCGTGGCCAGGTGAACCGCGGAATCGACTCCACCGTCGAGATCTGGGGTCGCTAAGTGATCCTAGGAGTATTGTAACCGCATGAAACCGCAAACATGTTGCTTTAATTACAAGAAAAGCCCATTACTTGGAAAATGTGAAAAAAACTGTGCAATTTATAATAAAGATGTAAATTCATATGTAAAATGCTGTTTTTTAAAAACCTATAGCTTTCAGTGCATGAGCAAAAATGTGAAAGAATGAATGCTCAACTAGGAAAAATCAAAGATCAAAGACCTGTTCTTGTTTTAGGTTGATTAAGTTTATTTTAGATGAAATTGTAACGTTTTTTATTCAGCTAGAATTTGACATATATAGAAGATGTATCTTTGAGAATCTTGTAACTTGTATCTTCAATTCGAGACTCAAATTAGGTAGACTCAACTTTTCTCACAGTGCGCGTCTTTCATGTTTGGCTGAGTCCACAGCAAATTGCTTATCAGGCGAGCGCATGTAGCAGTCAAACTGAAAAGGGGCCCTGCAAGGCCAAAAGCAGCCCTTAATTTGGCCAATTTAAAAATGGAAATCGATTCCCCCGAGAAGCGGCGATGTGTCAATAAAATGTGATTAACAAGTTGCTGCACAAAATGCCAGCACAGACTGCAATCGGATAATGGCACTGGGTACATAATGCCTCCACGACATTCCCTCAGGCATTTGTATCTTTCTGCTGCTTTGTATCTTTCAGTTGTCATTGTGGGGTTCCCTTCTTTTTTGTTTTTTCATGCTCTTTTTTAGCATTGTGGGTAGGGTGGGCGGAGGGGTAGCAAACATCCTGGGAGCGTGGCGAATTATCCCTTTCATAAGTGACAAATACGTCCACCCTCATCAGCCACGGCTGCTGCAAGTAATGAGATTTTATGCCGAACCAAGTGACTGCCAGCCGTGGTAATTCGCAATAAATATGCAGCCAGGATGGGGCCAACCAGCTCGATTTGTGTGCCCGGCGATAAGGATGCCACCCCAAAGGATCTCGGTGGCACTGCGATTCCCCGAATGCATTCCTTCGCAGATTACGCAACTATAACGACGCAATGCCACAGGCATGAATGGAATTATCTTTGGACTTAATTAAAGTAGGGCCATGCTAATGCAGATGGCAGCTTAAGATGGATTACATTAGGAATGATTAAAAGTTCGCCATTCGACACTTTCACTGGCACAAGGATACCTGAACCTGCAATGTAATCATGGCTTAAATGGCCCACTGTACTGCCACTTCTTGGCCTTGTTCTAATTTCACTGAATGCTCCATGTTGCTGCTTAACTCACACTTTAATTACTTAGCACTAATTTAATTGCGTATGCAGACGCCTTCCTCTTCAGTTGATAAACCAATACACAAAACTCTTGACAGCTTCAGAAAGTTCTGTTCACTGGCATTTGGCATATTTGGCATGCACACGACTATGGATTATTTATTAAATAAAGGATAAGACATTTCCATTTTAGTTTTAAAACTAAAATTGGCTCTGAATGGGATTCTAGGAATACAGACCTCTGACTAATAATCGAATCTATGGCATTCACCTCTATTTTCAATGCAAAACTCCGATAAGATGGTAGAAGTCCGAGTGTTGCCAGTCAAGGGCCAGTATCTGTCAGCTGAAATCTGCAGCTGAGATTTGTTTCCGATCTTCAAGTCCATTGTGGAGCGCTTAGCGTTCTGTGATAAGCACACGAAATCTTTTCCAGGAAGGCCAGCACGAATTTTAGATGCCGCCCTGGTTTTTGCACCAGCGCCGGCGTGAGTCAGGTAATCTTATCGGGCCACTTGATTGCCGGGGGGTTTCTTATACCTTTTGCCTTCTTCGCCAGACTCTCGCCCTGCCCATGCCCACTTCATGGGCTGCGATAAGCCCGCCCTGTAACAGAAGTTAATTAAACGCGAAGCGCTTTTGTAAACATGGCCTTAGTCATGCTGGCCATGCCATAATAAAAGCTCGGCCACTCGCAGTTGCTACCAAACGATCGCAGAACGTCCGAGCACAAGCAACCCATTCAACATGCGTCTCCTGCTCGTCCTGTCCGTTGTCCTGGCCGTGATCCTCGGCTGCCACGCCTACAGCGCCACCTGGGGGCGCAGGGTCAACAACGACTTCCTCCTCTCCCGCACCAACGAGGTGCGCAATCCCATCAAGAACAACTACTGGAACCTGAACGTGAACTACCCCGCCGGATTCTACAACATCTCCGCCGTGATCGTCTACGACAACTTCAAGAACAACTCCGGCGCATCTCCCAGTCTCTATTCCGGCGGTCCGGGCTACCGATTCGCCACCGTGAATCTCCGTGGCCAGGTGAACCGCGGAATCAACTCCACCGTCGAGATCTGGGGTCGTTAGATGATCAATCGAATCTGTTATAACCGAAAGTCGCTGGGATATCAACTGAACCCAAAGCAAAAACTTAAATCTTAGAAATAAAAACACTACAGTAAAATAATTGTGGCAGTATTAAACCAAGTTATTTTCTTCAAATGCAAGACAATTAAGCCTTCAGCTTTCAATATCAACAAGACTGTGCTTCCGAAGTAAACAAAATAATACCCTACTGGCCCACGTGTATCTAATCAGTTAAAAAGCAAATACATTTATTTATTTTATAAGAAAAGAGGTTTTGAGCAAATATAAAGGGTTTACTTATAAAAGGTTATGAAAATGCGAATTGGTGTATAAGCAAAATAATTATTTCGCAAGCTGAGTCAAATAGCAAGGCAAATATGCAGATAAGGAAGCCCAGATAATAAATATTTAATATCAAAAAATGTTGTTGGCATTAACAGTTCAGTGCGCAAAGTGGAAATCACCAAAAGTGTATCGTATCCAGACAATAATCGGTGGATATCTTTATCGCTGTGCGCTGTCAATAGGAATAGCATATTGATGTATCTATCTCTGCCGGACTTTGCATAATCGCATATTAGCCCAGGGCCAATCCCCAAAAACTCCGTGCAAGTTTCGAATTTTCCCTCGAATGCTGCCTGCCACAAAGGATGAAAGTAGACCGCCCGAGGAAAGGGGAAACTTTTCCTTTTTGCCCGCCAGAGGCGTAGTCATCTAGCAAAGGAAAACATTCAATATTTAATAAACATCAGTGTGTGTGGGTGTGTGTGTGTGTGTGTGTTGGCAAGAGTAACTCGAAATTAGGGCTGGGGAGAGGACTACTGGCCACAAATCCTGTGAGGCCCAGACAGACTGTTAAAAGGGCTAGAGGGCTTAGCCAGCACAACAAAAAAAAAACAAAGAAAAATGCTTTAGTCGAGTTTCCCGACTATCAGATACCCGTTACTCAGCTAGTGCTGGGGAAATTTCAACATTTTTTGGAATATCGGTACTCTACGAGTAACGGGTATAATTACAAAAAAATTAAACTAAATAAATGTTTTAAATTTGAATGCAGATTTTTAGAGATTTGCGCCAGAAACATTTAGAGGTATGCCACTTCAAAATCCGATTAAGATAAGTTGAGTTATGGCGTTTAGAACTTCAGATTTTGGCATTTTTTAACTTTTTCAATTTTTACACATCATACATCAGAAAAATTACAAAAAATTAAAAAAAAAATACATTTTTAGATTTGAATGCAGATTTTTAGAGAATTGCGCCAGAAACATTTAGAGGTATGCCACTTCAAAATCCGATTAAGATAAGTTGAGTTATGGCGTTTAGAACTTCAGATTTTGGCATTTTTTACTTTTTCAATTTTTACACATCATACATCAGAAAAATTACAAAAAATTAAAAAAAAAATAAATTTCTAAATTTGAATGCAGATTTTTAGAGAATTGCACCAGAAACATTTAGAGGTATGCCGCTTCAAAATCCGATTAATATAAGTTGAGTTATGGAGTTTAGAACTTCACCATTGGGACATTTTTGACTTTTTGAATTTTTACAACATCATACATCAGAAAAATGACAAAAAATATAAAAAAAATAAATTTCTAAATTTGAATGCAGATTTTTAGAGAATTGCACCAGAAACATTTAGAGGTATGCCGCTTCAAAATCCGATTAATATAAGTTGAGTTATGGAGTTTAGAACTTCACCATTGGGACATTTTTGACTTTTTGAATTTTTACAACATCATACATCAGAAAAATGACAAAAAATTTAAAAAAAAATAAATTTTTAAATTTGAATGCAGATTTTTAGAGAATTGCAGCAGAAACATTTAGAGGTATGCCGCTTCAAAATCCGATTAATATAAGTTGAGTTATGGAGTTTAGAACTTCACCATTGGGACATTTTTGACTTTTTGAATTTTTACAACATCATACATCAGAAAAATGACAAAAAATTTAAAAAAAAATAAATTTCTAAATTTGAATGCAGATTTTTAGAGAATTGCACCAGAAACATTTAGAGGTATGCCGCTTCAAAATCCGATTAATATAAGTTGAGTTATGGAGTTTAGAACTTCACCATTGGGACATTTTTGACTTTTTGAATTTTTACAACATCATACATCAGAAAAATGACAAAAAATTAAAAAAAAAATATATTTCTAAATTTGAATGCAGATTTTTAGAGAATTGCGCCAGAAACATTTAGAGGTATGCCGCTTCAAAATCCGATTAATATAAGTTGAGTTATGGACTTTAGAACTTCACCATTGGGACATTTTTGACTTTTTGAATTTTTACAACATCATACATCAGAAAAATGACAAAAAATTTAAAAAAAAATAAATTTCTAAATTTGAATGCAGATTTTTAGAGAATTGCACCAGAAACATTTAGAGGTATGCCGCTTCAAAATCCGATTAATATAAGTTGAGTTATGGAGTTTAGAACTTCACCATTGGGACATTATTGACTTTTTGAATTTTTACAACATCATACATCAGAAAAATGACAAAAAATTAAAAAAAAATAAATTTCTAAATTTGAATGCAGATTTTTAGAGAATTGCACCAGAAACATTTAGAGGTATGCCGCTTCAAAATCCGATTAATATAAGTTGAGTTATGGACTTTAGAACTTCACCATTGGGACATTATTGACTTTTTGAATTTTTACAACATCATACATCAGAAAAATGACAAAAAATTAAAAAAAAAATAAATTTCTAATTTGAATGCAGATTTTTAGAGAATTGCACCAGAAACATTTAGAGGTATGCCGCTTCAAAATCCGATTAATATAAGTTGAGTTATGGACTTTAGAACTTCACCATTGGGACATTTTTGACTTTTTGAATTTTTACAACATTATACATCAGAAAAATGACAAAAAATTTAAAAAAAAATAAATTTCTAAATTTGAATGCAGATTTTTAGAGAATTGCACCAGAAACATTTAGAGGTATGCCGCTTCAAAATCCGATTAATATAAGTTGAGTTATGGAGTTTAGAACTTCACCATTGGGACATTTTTGACTTTTTGAATTTTTACAACATCATACATCAGAAAAATGACAAAAAATTTAAAAAAAAATAAATTTCTAAATTTTAATGCAGATTTTTAGAGAATTGCACCAGAAACATTTAGAGGTATGCCGCTTCAAAATCCGATTAATATAAGTTGAGTTATGGAGTTTAGAACTTCACCATTGGGACATTTTTGACTTTTTGAATTTTTACAACATCATACATCAGAAAAATGACAAAAAATTAAAAAAAAAATAAATTTCTAAATTTGAATGCAGATTTTTAGAGAATTGCAGCAGAAACATTTAGAGGTATGCCGCTTCAAAATCCGATTAATATAAGTTGAGTTATGGACTTTAGAACTTCACCATTGGGACATTTTTGACTTTTTGAATTTTTACAACATCATACATCAGAAAAATGACAAAAAATTTAAAAAAAAATAAATTTCTAAATTTGAATGCAGATTTTTAGAGAATTGCACCAGAAACATTTAGAGGTATGCCGCTTCAAAATCCGATTAATATAAGTTGAGTTATGGAGTTTAGAACTTCACCATTGGGACATTTTTGACTTTTTGAATTTTTACAACATCATACATCAGAAAAATGACAAAAAATTAAAAAAAAAATAAATTTTTAAATTTGAATGCAGATTTTTAGAGAATTGCTCCAGAAACATTTAGAGGTATGCCACTTAAAAATCCGATTAAGATAAGTCGAGTTATGGAGTATAGAACTTCAGCCTTGGGACATTTTTTTGAATTTCTGCAACATTCTAGCTTTTGTAGTTCCTGAGATCGAGGACTTCAAACGGACAGACGGACATGGCCAGATCGACTCGGCTATTGATCCTGATCAAGAATATATATACTTTATATGGTCGGAAACGCTTCCGTCTGTCTGTTACATACTTTTCGACGAATCTAGTATACCCTTTTGCTCTACGAGTAACGGGTATAAAAACGAGGATAACTGGAGCCCAGCGAAAGGGGAGACAGACTTATTGGCCTTGGCTCATTTGATTCCCGGGGATGGTGTAAAATTTGTATTTCAAATTGCCAAAAGCAGCCCCAAAAAAGGCGCAGAGGCTCGATATGTTAAGCTGCACGGTCAAAAGGATGTGCCGCAGTCCCTTTTTTCTCTCTTTCTCTTTTTCTATTTCCGTAGTTTATGTATCGAATTTAAATTTCAATTTTAAACGTCTTGAGGCAACGGATTTGGATAGCTACCTCCCCAATCGCCGTCGTGGCTGTAAATATTTGCACAGGGTGCACAAATGTTTGAAAAGTTGTCAACGAAAATGTTTCACTTAGTTAATATGCAAAGCGCGGCCACTCGGCTGCGATGCAAAGCCCCGGATCCGGATATGTTTACGGATACGGCCACGGCCATGGCTACGACTACGGTTGTGATTCGTCCCCCGCCAAAGGGAAAGTCGTTCCATAAAAAATTGCCCCCAAAAGTCACGTAACTGCAGTGCCGCCGGGGCAAAGAGAGTACGAAAATGCCAGGAGCGGCAGCAGCAGCAGGAGCAGGAGGTGGTGCATCCCAATTCGATTTGTCCTGCTGCCCTGTGCTGTTAACTTTAAGAACTGCCAAATGCGACTGCCGAATCTCGCTTCCGGCCGCATTCACTTGACATTACTCATACGCCGCGTGGACCGCCGCCGCAACGAAATGCCCAACGTAAGCCGCTTGCCGGCTAAGCTGACCACTACATCGGTGTCCCCGGGTAACCAGCCTGCCACACACACCCACACACACACCACTCCCCCACACATCCAGTCGCAGGACCCTGTGTCCTGCCACTCCCCTTTGTCAGCGGCAACAGCTTGCCGAGCAATTACTTCGGACTGCCCGGAAATGTCGACCGAAAACCAGCAGCGACAGCAGTGGCAGCTGCTTGGAACAGCTCCTGCCGGAACCCCGCCGCCTTCGTTGCGCCCCCACTCGCCTCGGGGGTGTGGCATATGTCTGGCGCTGCAAGGACATGCGTCGGCATCTGCTTACACTGGCCGCTGTGGCTGCGGCACATCGAAAATACCCGCCTCAAATGGGATTTCAATTAGCAGCAACTGTCTCACACCAGCCGGCGATTGTGTTGTCCAGTGTTGCGGCTCACCCTGCCACGTGGAAAGGACACAGCCAGGGTGCACAGATAAAAAAGCAAGTCCAAAT